CATGGTATGGCACTTAAGGTCCTTCGGATGACCAAAAGTTCACCATCGTCGGGGCCAACACATTCTTCTTCCTCCTCCTCGGCTACTTCTTCATCCCATACGGGATTGTACTCTTCATCATCATACTCAACCAAGGCCATTATTTTCTTGTTTGGGCACTCATTGGCGTAGTGACCAGTTCCTTGGCATCGGTAACAAACGGGGTTTTTTTGTTGGTTGTAGGGACTGTTTTAGGTGGGGGAGGAGTAGGATTTGGCTTAGGTGGTGTTTGGGGTTTGGAGGTTTGGCCGTGGGCAGTAGGGGTGAGTTTTGAGGGGGTATATGTGGGGCGTGAGTAAGGGGGAGGGTTTTTGGAGAGAATGGCTTTGGATTTCTTCATTTGAGCCTCAACTTTGAGAGCCAACTTAGTAAGCTCTTCAAATGTAGTGTAGCCTTGCAGCTCCACCGTATTGGCTATTTGGAGATTTAGGCCAAAAAGATACCTTACAAAGGTTTGCTCTTCGTTCTCTTGTAAGTCACACCTGAGTAGGAGTTCCTCAAACTCCCGGGTGTAGTCTTCCACGGACTTCGTACCTTGCCTAAGCATTTGAAGCTTAGCAAAGTTCTCTCGGGAATATTCAGTGGGTAGGAACTTCTTCTTCAAGGACTCCTCATCTTTTGCCATGAGTCAACGGGAGGCTTCTCACTTGGAATCCGTTTGGTGCAGATGTTCGTCCACCAAGTGGAGGCGTACTTGCGGAATTTTAAGGCCACAATCTTGAGCTTCTTGTCGTCGGAGACTTCTTTGAAATCAAAGACTCGTTCCACCGTCTCTAACCACTCAAGAAATTCATCCGGGTCATTCTTTCCTTCAAAGATTGGAATATCAACTTTGAAGTCAGAATATGACTTTTCGTGAGCCCTAGCTCTCATGGTGGCACTAGAGCTAGATTCCTCTTCATCTTCACTATCTCGTAGCATGGATATCTTTTGCTTTGTGAGCTTAGCCACTTCCTTGGCTAGGTACTCCACTTGAGCTTGTAAAGCAGCGTTTGAGGCCACAAGTTCTTCATGGGACATGCTTCAGGATCGGTTTGACATGGTTGATAGGAAAAGGGATGAAGTGGGAGTAGGGATTGAATGTGATTAGGCCGAATTTAGGGTGGGAGTTGGGGAAGTGTGTATGGCCCTTGAGAGATGAGTAACAACTAGCTTTGATACCAAATGATGTACCCAAGCTTAGGAAAAGCTATGGATAAATAAGGGCAGATTATAGAGAGGAATATATGGTGAAGAATAGGTTGGATTTGTGTATGAAATGGTGAAGAAAATATGGTTGTTTGGAAGAGGTGATAGGGCAGAATAAAGGGCAGGAGAAAAGAAATATTATGGAGTGGTTTTTGATGAAGAAATGAAGTGTTTAAATGGGAGAAAGGAGATGGACGAAATTAGGAAAGAAAAGGGAGTTCTTTTGTGGTTTTTATTGTAGAAGGATAAACCAAATAATAAATAAGAGATAAACACACTCTTATTTTTTTTGGGGCTGTTTCTTTTCACACAATAATATTCACTATTATTATATGAAATAGACTCCTAACACACACTCAAAAGTAGCCAACTTCAGAGATATTTAATTAGGAAATTGAGAGAATTAGCTTCACACCAAATCAAATATTACTTCAAAGAGTAATGAAATGAAATACAATGAATGCCTTTTACAAGGCCATAGGGCCGAAATATATAGGGAAAAACAGCAAGGAAACTTCACCACTCTTTCCTACAATTCAAATGCATAATGCCCATTTGATGGATCCCATAGGTTGTCCTCATTGATCAAGGCTAAAAGGGTTCATGGTGGTGAAAATGGGCTGTCTTTGGGTGGGAAATTCGGCCATGTGAAGGGTAGGGTGAGGGAGTGTGTCCTTTTGTCCATTTATGCAAAATAAGTTATGTGACACATCAAGGGATTGATTGTTTATTCCTTTGGCCTTATTATAGGTGTGAGAAATGATTTGGGGGGATGTTTGGGGGGAGGAATTCGGCCATGGGACAAAGGGATGTGTGGGGG